TCCGGCCGGGGCGGCGTCCGCCCCGCTGGGGTCCCCGCGTCCCGAGGAGCGGGGCCAGAAACCCTGGGTGTGGTTTGCTTGAGAGTTTCCGAGTCCCGGGGCAGGACTGGTGGGTCCCGAGCCCCTACGGCAGACCTGGGCCCCCTGGTGGCTGAACCGCGTGGACGCACAGCTGACGCCCCTGGAAGGCGGTCTCGCTCGTCCTCTGGTTTATAAAGAGGTGCTTGGGAAGCCGTCCTCTCCTTCTTCCCCCACTGCCACCCACCCACCCCCTCGCGAGCGTGGGGAAGAGGCCTGCCGGGTACTGCTCCTTTCCTGTCTTCGGGTCCGACCACGGTCCCGGGAGGAAGTAAGGACTGCTAGGATCTCCCAAGATTCCGCCGACCCCCACCTCGCCGCCCTGTCTCTGCTGACCCGGCCCTGGAGCCCTGAGGCCCCTGCTTTGCCGCCCCCTCAGTCCTCAGTCTACCCCTCCGACCTTCCCACACCCCACCCTCTGCCTGGTGCCCCTTCTCCCTCCCTCCTTATCACCCGCCTTTGGTCCCTCTCCCCAAACATCCTGCTTCCCGCAAATACTGGATCTAATTGTGGGTGGCATCCTGCCTGCATCTGGAGTAGTGAGCAGAAGTCTCTTCGGACTGTTCACATTTGGGGCCCAATAATTGTGAGGACTGTCCTGTCGCGAACTGGCGACGCAGAGCACTGTCCCGCAGTGCCTCAAACCTGAAAGAGCAGCGGGGTGGAGATGGGGCAGAGAGAAAGGAAGGCCGCCAAGACAAGAGTCTGATCAAGGCGACGTTTATCGCAGGCAGGCATCAGCCTTTTAAAGGAAAAGGCCGAACTATTATGGGCTAGGATTACCATAGTAACCTCAACACCCGCTCCGCGGGAAGGAGGGTTCACACGGGCAAGAGAAAGCAGGCTCAAGAAAAACAAATTAACAACACTTGCAACTAATAATCATGATTCCCAAATAGGTGGAGGAACTTAACAAAATGGAGTTACAACACCTGACTCCTACAGATAACGTCAGATCTTTAACAGGAAGCACCTGACTCCTACAGATCTTTGGCTGTCCGAGTTTCTCCCGTGCAGGGTCAAAACAAGTTTAACACGTGCAGTCCTTAAAAAGGAACAAATGTTGTCTTTCAAAAAGCCAGTGGGCCATGGCTGGCTTCCCACACTGTCCTGAGCATTCCAGGTTGTTTATTAGCCTCCCTGGCCTCTACCTATCCGATGTCAAAGGCTTACACACACACACACACACACACACACACACACACCCACACACCTCCAGACATAGCTGCCCCTAGAGACACCATTAGCACCACTGTCTCTTTGTCCTGTTGGAACTAAAGAGAAAAAGGAGAAACAAAAGCAATAGGTAAGTCTGAACTCAGAGGTCCCTTCAGCAGCTCAGAAACTTGGTCTCCAGGAAGCAGGCCAGCCTGGGCATCTTGGCCATGGCCACCACAGTCTTCCCCACTTTCCTTTCACAATGATGCCTTCTGGCAGCCTCTGCCCACCTTCCTCCGTGCCTCTCTTGTCCTCTGAGCCCCACACTGTTCTTGGGCGTCCTTTGCCCTTTGTCCCCACTCCTCTTCCTCCTCAGGCTCAGCTTGACAGGCACCTCCCCCATAGGCTCTCCTTGACTCCCAGCGTGGCCTGGGCACCTACCTGGCTGCATTTCTCTTCTTGCCCTTGTTGCTGTGGCTGGCTGCTATATCCCACCTTGACGTGTCCTTACTGAAGGAAGAAAGGACAGAGGGAGGAAAGGTGGAAGGAGAATGATGTGGAAAGTTTGATCCCAGGGCCTAGGCTAATGACACAAACAACCCACTGTGGCATGCGTGCCGTAGGTTCGCCACCACTGGTCCAGGCTAATGACTACGGTTTCAAGAATCATCCTCCAGGAGTCACCCTGGATCATGCTTGGCCTTTGTCTAGCACCCTAAAGGCCAAGAGGCCTGGCCTAGATTAGACTCTCTGCAGGCAGGGCTTGGTCAGGGCCCACTGGCTTCTGATGGCTTTGCTTCTCTGCTTTCTACGCAGACACACCCTCTGATGCTGTGTCCTCTGTTCCCGGAGCCATGCCACGCCAGCCTGGGCCACATTCTCTGAAAGCATCTCTTCCTCATTACCGGAATTGGACCCCAGCTTCCTAAGCCTCAGTTGTACCCAGGTACTTTGTGCCAGCGGAAGGGGAACTGTGTGGGTAGGTACACATGGCAGTTGATGTTGGGGCCATGCTTGAGATGGGAAGAGCTGACCTTGACCTTGGCCCTGACGCTGCTCAGCAGGAGCTGCGTTGTGCTCAGGTCATTTTCTGCACGGTCCTGCCCTACCCCAGAAACCCACTGTAATGTACTGTAATAGAGACAGGGGAGAGGGATCCCTTGGCCTCACCAGCTGTATCTCCCACCGCAGTATAAAGGGGAAAGCTGACAGCCATCCGTGTTACACACACTTTTGACAAAAAGATTGAGTGTGTGCAATGATTTCAGGTCATCCCAGCCTCAACGTGGCCTCCCCCTGCACATTCAGAATCCTGGTTGCAGCTTGATGAAGAAGCTCTACGATTTTAGTCAATATTGGTCAATAGCTACCTTTATGGCTATAATCCCCTGTCCCCCAGCCCTATGGGGGGCAGCTATGGGGATGGTGGCTGTCATTCCAGCTTGGTAGCAGCTTTATTCACAATAGCCAAAATATATAAATAACTCAGATGTCCATCAGTGAACACTTGGGTAAACAAAACGGTCCATCCGTGCAGTCAAATATCATTCAGCCATGAAAGGTGGATGAACAGATGAAGCTTGAACCTGTCATGGCCTGGATGAACCTTAAAAACTGTATGCTAAATGAAAAGGCCGCCTGGTGTATGAGTCCATATACAGTACATGAAATGTTCAGAATAAAGAAATCCACAGAGAAATCTCATAGATGCAAATTCATAGAGCAGACTGTTGCCTGAAAACGAGGGTCTGGGAGGAATGAAACTGATGGCTAATGACTGTGGAGGTTTTTTCAGGTAGGAAAATTCTGGGATCACATAGCAATGATGTTTGTCCGGTCTCGTGAATACAGTCATCCCCTCGGCATCCTGGTGAATAGCGAAATTGGCAGCTGCTCAAATCCCCTCTATGCATGAAATTTGCATATAGCCTGTCTTACTCTTCTGGTTGCTGAGGCAAAATACCAGACACTCAAAGTGAAAGGAGGAAACGTGTGTTTGGCTCACAGTTTGAAGAGGTTTCAGTCCATTGCTGGCTCCAAGGCAGGGTGGCATGGCAGAGGGGCATCGCAGAGGAGAAGCAGTTTATGGTGGGCAAAAGTCAGACAGAGCAAGCAACTAGCAACAAGCCGTGTCTGCAGCACTTTTTTACTCATACCTTCAGTTGGTTGAATGCACTGATTCACATCTATGGATAAGGAGGGACGGACGTACAATAAAAAACTTTAATTGTGCCCTTGAAAATGGGTGAATTTTGTGGTATATCACTTGTATCTCAGCAAAACTATTTTACTTACTTTTTTTAAAGCAAAGGTTCAGAGTTGCAATATTTGCATCCAGAAAGTCCATACTAGGTGGGGCCAGCTGAACGTGACAATAAATAAAGCAGCTGAGCTTCAAAGGTACTCCACGAACACTGAGAAGCTGGCTCTGCCAGCGATCCTTGGTGGGTGACCCTCTGCAATGCCAGCTACTGACCCGTTTTGGAAGAAAAATAGCCCCAGGGTCAGAAGATCCGGTGGGAGTCAGGAGTCAGGTCCTTCTGGAGGGAGACTGGGTGGAGGTGAGCCCTGGTGGTGGGAGGAGGGACTACTGTCCTCCAGTTCCCAAGAGAGAGGCTGACGGGAGAACCCGGCGTGGGCACACAGCGGGAGCCTGGCTGCTGACATCTCCATCCCCACCCAGGTTGAGCCAGGCGGCAGAACAACCAGGGCTCCCAAGGAGGAGGCAGCCAGGGGACAGCAATTGGATGGCAAAGGGGCCGCCATGCTGCCGCCCAGCCACCTCAGGACCCCTACAGGCCGCCTGAGGGACAGATAAACACGATTGCTTCTGACGAGCTCTGTCAGGCTTCGCCACGAGCCTCTTCCCTACATTTCCTGAAGTATTAGTCCGTCTGCTTGAGTTGTAGCTCCCTGCTCTCCACATTCTGGTTTGTGATTTCGCTGCTTGCTCTGCCCCCACTCATACTGACACAGGTACTCTGTCTGCGCGCAGAGAATGCATCCATGTTAGTTTAATTGGGGCTCGTCTTCCTGTTATCTGCCTGTGCCAAACTGAGGCTCATGTTTGCTTCCCCTGCCCGTCATCAACCCTCATCAGCGCATTATCCCGTTATCCAGTCCGTGCCAGTGATCGTACACCCTACTCGAGTTCTATTTAGCTATGTCATTCCATTCTTTTATTTCAGAGCTAATAAAATATGATTGCACTCCGTTGGATTAAGATTGCCGCGGATCCCAGAGCACGGCACTCTATTTACGTGGATGCCATCGTGCTTTGCCACTTCACACAGTTACTTTCAGTATGTGTATGAGAAAACGGGTCTACATCCCCTCTAGATTCTCTTCTCGTAAAATCAGGGTGTACTCCGACTGCTGATCACGTTTACAACTTTCCCAGGCAAGAGATGCAACCAGTGTCTTATTTTCTACAGAGGAAACCGAGGATCAGAGAGAAGACACAACTTGCCCCAGTGCTCAGAGCAAGATGTAAAGCCAGGGTCACTGTCCTCAGCTTTTTGCCTTTTTAAAGCATCAGGTATGTGCTAGACTCACAAAACCCACTCCTCTCTCAAGGTTGACCAGCTTCTTCCTGTGGCCTGTAGGCTGGGGAGGCAGGAATGTGGGCGCCCAGCGCAGGCACGGCCAAAAGGAACCGAGGCTCTGAGCTGGAGGAGGCCTCAGACTCGAGGCCGGAGAAACAAGTGCACCTCTGTGGTTGATGAAGGGGATTCTGTGTGTGCAGAGGAAGCAGGCTTGGGGTACAAGAGGTCTTTATGGGATGTAGCAGGCTTGCGACGGGGGGAGATTGTGGTAACGTGATGACATTGCCCTCGGTGCTGACCCCAGTTATGTCCTGGCCACAGCTCCACGAAAGAGCACGTGAGCTGCAGAGGGAAGTCACTGGTTCAGACTGTGTTTGGAACTTCTTCCGTGGGGAAAGGAGAAGACTAGCACCCACGCCCAGGGCTTGTTGCCAAGATTTGGTAGGCACTGAACTTGTTCCACCCAGGATCTGACTTTCACTCGGCACCCAATACACCAGAGCTGTGATCTCACTGCCTAGTCGGGGACCAGAAAGACTGTAAAGAAGCCTCGGGAGACCCGGTCTCCCAGCAGGCTGGGAGGGAACCCTGGGGAAATCCGGCTGCTGCCTTGGAGAGGATGAGACCGGGTTTGAGAAGAGCAGATGACAGGTAGCGCTGCCCTATGTTGAAGGGGATGTCTACGCCTGCATCAGTCCCGGTGCCCATGATGTGGCTGTGCCCTCCGGAGCCTTCCTGCAGGGTGGCTGGTGACCCGTTGGAGGTGGAGAGGAGGCAAGAGGTGGTAGGTTCCCGGGACCTGAATGTCCTGGGCAGAACGTCAGCCGCAGAGCCCCTCCCGTTTGGACACACACGCACTCACACACACTTGGTGGGACACCTGAGGATGTGCCACACAGGCTCCTCTGGGTTCCACTAGGAACCAGGACACTCGACCCTGAACCAGCAGCCCACATCTTCTCTGCTCCAGCCCGTTCAAGTGCTTGTGTGTATCTGGGTAAGCCAGGGGGTACCCTGGGGTCCTCCCCCAGGGACTTGCCGCTCCGTGAGGTCCCCTCGGCGTCTCTCCAAGCTTTTGGGGTGGAGGGACACTGGCGGTAGCTGCTGGGGGGCGGTCAACAGGAGTTTCCCAGGAGGGGTGGCCAGGACAAGGACTTGTTACATCATATACTTCTGTCTACTTTGAGCTTTTTATCTCAAAAGGCATTTGTGACTTTTGTGATAGTAAAAGAATTGTTTTACACGCTCTACATTAAAAAAAAAAAAAAAAAAAAAACAA